CCCCCCTTTGCCCCCTCAGTACCCACACTAAGTTGTGTCAAGTTCAGGCAACATGAGCCAACATCAGGCCATCTTCCCTTATCTTGGTTCATCTTCCTCCTTCTGGAGCTGAACTTCCCTGAAGATGCACCCCTAAGCACACTTTTTGGCATCTGTCCTCAATCCAAAGGGTCCCCCCTTTGCCCCCTCAATGCCCACCAGAAGTTGTGTCAAGTTCAGGCAACATGAGCCAACATCAGGTCATCTTCCCCCAACTTGATCCTCAACTTGTGTCAAGTATGCTGAAGATGACTGAACTTAAGGTACCAAGCTGAACTTAGAGGCACTTTGTGCCATCCCTGAACAACTTTTGAGTAATCCAACACCAGATAGTCTCATGCCACAGCCTCATGTAGGTCACTGTAACAGACAAGAAGCACTTTTCTTAAAGATGACCAAGTTAGGCACTCTAACCAGACCATCATGAGGTTAGATGGACCTCACGCCGTCAAATCTGTAGGGTTTTGGGCGCTGCTTTACCAAATGGCTCTCCTGAGGCCCCTCTAGATGCCTATAACACAAATTCCAAAAACCCCATTGGGGACCCCCTTGTAACCCTAACCCTGACTCTTTAACTCCTCTATCCCTCTCTCAAACTCTTCCATCTACTGGTCTAACCATCCAACACTTTGCTGCCACCAATGCTTGTTGCTTGACTGTTCTAGACTCTTGCCCACTGCCTTGCATGCTTTACACCTGCTCCACATGCTCTGCATCCTTTGACTGTTCTGCAGCCTTGCCTACTTGCACTATCATTCTTGCAACTCTATTTTGCTCCATGACTTTACAGCTCTCTCAACCACTGACTGCAAAGTATGCCTGCCAAGCTCTCTCTCTGTGCTCACAAACTGCTTGCATCCCAGCACGCCCCTGCTGATTGCTTTGTGCACGCCTCACAAAACTCTCACTTACATGCACTAACATCCTCCCATCTTCCTTTTGCGCTGTAAAAGTCTTGGCGCATCTATATAAGGCGCCCACCTGGGTGTGGGATTGATTCCTGCCTCACAGTCAAAGTCCAGGCATGTGTCTGTGTGGCTGGGGCACCGGTCATGGCTGGCAGACAGAAATGTCTGCATGGCAGGGCTTGTGGGGCTGGCGCGTGCATGCGTCTGTATGACAGCGCGTGTATGGCATGGTGTAAAAGTAGCTCCGGCCATCTCCATTGCCCTCCAACACATCTCTTTGGCAGGGAGATTGTCTGCGCATCTGCGGTTATGCCGTAAAATTCTTGGGGCATATATATAGGGTCCGAATCTCATACCACACAGTAATCATGTAAAGATGTCCGCTGCACGGGAGAAGATCTTAGACTTATAGCTTTAGGGTTAGGGTGCTGCGCACTCGCTTTCATGACGCAAAGGTCACGGCCGATGTGTACGAGCCCGCTCTTGTCATCCTGAGCCTTGCAAAAGTCTGCAGCGCACCCCGCCAAAAACCAATGGGGAACCCTAAAAACTCCCCAGTTCAACGCACGCACGCACACCGCCTTTATTTGAAGCGGCCACTTTTGCAAAGTCATTTGACTAAAGCGCCGCGAGGAGCAGAACGGAATCATTGCATTTCCTAGTCCACGATCAAGTTCCAAGTCTCGTCGTGTGCCACGCCTGACGCCCCCGACGGCGTAGTGTAAAGCGCCTTGCGCAGCGTCAGTCCAGTCGCCCCGCTGACGGCTTCGGGTTCGAAGAGTTGCAGATTGTCCTCGGTGAAGAACGCCTTTTTCTGTTCCACTCCGTTGTCCGTGCGCGGTCTTCTCGGCACGCCGTAACATTGACAAATGAGGCCAAAGGGTGCCGTGATCCTCTTGCGCACGGCTCGCACGCTCATGTCGTTGATGTTCCACGTGCATACGAAAGCTACGATGGCGATCCAACAAACGGTAATGACCTCGACGAAGATGACGGCTGCGTAGAAACCAAAAACCCCCAGATGTATCCGTGTGCCTGGCACGGGACGTCCCTCGAGTGTAGATACTGGTGTGCTTGCCATCATTGTTCCTGAATAAGCCATGATGTAGCGCGATAGCGTGCGGCCGTACACCTCTGGGTACGGATCCGATGCCAGCTGACCTGCACCGTCAATCATGGTCCCGATCATGTCTGCCCGTCCAGTCACATCAAACCCCGGCCCTCTGCCACGGCAGCACAGTGCGAGTTCAATTTCAGCATGTGTGCCCTGCTTGCCGGGCCGTACGACTCACGTTGTCCAGGTAAATCGCTGGGCTGCCTCTGGAGAGACGTCGTGAGTGTCCAGCGTCGTGTACGTGCTAGGTGGGTCGAAGCGATACGTGACGAGACGAACTGCCAGCTCGCAGTGCAAGACGTTCGTAGCACCAACATTGCCCCAGACGAGAAACCCTCTACAGGTGGGAGGCGCTATACCTCAGAGGCCGGCCACTCGCTCGCCAGCACGCGGGATGACCGTCACTCACGTTGTATTGTCAAGCATCGAGGACCCACGACCATTTTTGTAGTCGATGTAAGCCTGCGAGAGGACCGTCGTGCCCCAGCGCAAGGGGCTGAGCAGACACGAATCGGCAATCTGTTTTTCAGCTTTGCTCGCCTTGCACCCTCCTAAAAGGCGTGCAGTCAGGGCAACAAATTGCGTCCACGGCGACTCACTTTGACGCTGGCACAGCGCTGCTACCCCTGACGTCGCCATCGACGTTCAGCCAGCCCGTCTCGCGCGCAGTGCTATTGTATGCATGTGTGCCGTTGCAATTCAGATTGAGGAATGCTACAGGTCCGCAAGGAGGACCATTGTAATTTTCCTGATAGCACCGAGTACATTCAGACGTGATGGACGCGCAAGTCGCCTTGATGCCTGACGCAATGGCAGTGTAGGAAAAAGTGGGCTGCGCGGCCGCAACGATGATAGAATGCGCGTCGTCTGTCCACGCTATAGCTTGCGCTGCAGACGAGTTCGCAAATGTTCGCTGGCCTTCAGGCGCCCACTGACCACCATTTCCATAGGCTGATCCGCTGTGTCACAGCCTCTACTTGTCAGCTAACGATGCGCGCGGACCACTCGTCCAGCACGCTATTCGACTCACTCTGAATATCCGCAACTATCCTTGGCGCTCAAAGACAAGCCGATGGTATGCCGTCGTGACCACGAAGCGCACTGCGTCTCGTTGACTCGACGCCCCAAGAGCATGGCCGCAGCGGCTGGACTGGCGAGTTGCGCGCCTGCGTTTGCCGAATCGTTGCTGGACACGGTGATGGTGTCGGGATCGACGGTCCAGTCGAGCGGCGGAAGGTTGCCCACCAGCGCGCGAGCATCTGCGAATGCCGCGCGTTCCGAAGGACTGGCAGGCAAGCCAAAGACGGCATTGATGCTAGTCTGATGAAAGGCTACGTCTGCAAAAAACGCCAGTGCCTCGAGCGTCAACAACCAAAGGAGCAGGATGACTGACATCGAGACAAGGCGCGGTGCTTTAGGACGACGAGAGTGACCGCTTCGTCCGAGCATGTACAGTGCGCCATCGTACAGAGCAAACCAATTTGCGGAGCCCAGCACGACTTGCAAGATGCCGAACCTGCAAGGAGAAGGTGAGAGAGAGAGCGGAATTTCAGGCAATCAAAAGTGTGACAAGACGTGTGCGCTTCTACGACTCACTGCAATGGGGTTGGTAATGTCGCATCGCCATCTTGGCTACCTCTCAGCCAATCAGCTGCGCAAAAGTAAGCAAAAACCGTCATGGCTAGTCGTGGAGCAGGTGTAGGGTATGCTGTTAGCGGACCGTGACGACGCGTCTTATGCATGCGCGCGCATACATCCAATCTCCCTTTTCACCATGATCACCGATGACATACCCTCCCAAGTGTGAAAGACCAAACTCAAAACAGCTTTCATTGTTCCCCCCGCTTACACACCCGCAATTAGGCCCGCGACGCGACTCACCTGGCACGACGATTTTTTCAGCCACTTTGCTAGTGATCTGACTGACGGTGAGGATTTCGTGCACGGGTGCAGTGGTGAAGACGTACTTGCCAAGCTTGACGGCATCGTTGTGGGCATAAACGTACCAGAAGAGCAAGCAGAGCGGTAAGAGGAGGGCGAGCGTCAAGCCTACTCCTTTGATCAACACCCATCCTAGCGCTCGATATGGCCTGCCTCGAGTGTCGGGCGGTGTTTGCAGCGCCGCATCCTCTTGCGCGACACCGTCATAGCTATTCGAGGATTTTGTGCTGATGTGCGCGTACCTGTTCGACATGGTCAGTGCTGGTCTCTACTGATGACGGATGAGTGCGGCGGGGCGGGTTGTGAAGGTACTGATGTGTCGCTGTGCTCAGGATCAGGTGGTGTTGTTGGTGGTGGTGTAGTCGTGGGGAATCTTGTGTGTGCGTGTATAGATATCGATGGAGACTTTCGAAAACCTGCTCGCAGTAAATCATCGCAGACACTTCAACGCACACCAGATGGGACGTAACATCTGCACGATCCGGTCACTTTTGCGTCTGCATGATCCGACGTCGCCAAGAGACACACTCACACGCACACGTGCAGGTGAGGATGCAAGGTCGTCCGCTAGGGTGCACCAGCGAGGTGCCTTGAAGTCCCGAGTACCTCACTCGACCCGTCCTACTTGCATGGCCCGACCCGACTCCGATCATGAATGAAAGATCCCTTCTCCACGTTCACGACTCACGAAATCCACGAATGGCATCAAAACAAGCAAAGGTCCGCGGCCGGACGCGTGATGCGCATGCGCGCAAAGATTTTGGCGTTTGTTGGCAAAGGGGGGTCGGGCGTGCGCGTGTGCGCGTGTGCGCGTGGGCGGCTTTCCGTATCGCATCGCATCGCGCGACGTTCGCGCCGAGGCGCAGCTGGAACATTGACATTCACGCAAGTACCGCGCCCTTCCACGCATATATGCGTACATGCATGTACGCATGCATGCAAGTGGGCGTCGGCGCTGGCTGTGCGTGCCTGACGTATTTGGCGTGCGCGCGGCGCGAGCAAGAGTCACTCAGTCGCGAGTGCGAACTTTGAGTGGTAGTGAGTGGTGAGTGGGTTAGGCAAAGGGAAAGGGGGGAGAGAGAGAGGGGGGATGTAATCGGTGAATGGATCGCGAGCGGAGTGGAGTGAGCGCAACGAGGGTGGTGAGAGGTCAAGTGGATGTTGCCTTGCAGAAGACATAGGACATGCTTGCTTGCTGCTGCTAGCTGCACGTCTGCACGTCTGCGTGCTACCCTCATGAACAGCCACTTGATTGCACTTTTCGCGTCTATCGGTTGAGGATGCGTGGAGGGCAATGTCTCGCGGACCGCGACTGCCGCTCCTTTTACGGATTCCAGCACCGAAAACGCGTTCAGACACGTGATGCGAAACACGATGGGCACTCTTGACTCCTTGTCGGGTTGTCGGTCGTCTACAAAAGAAGCATACAAGAAAACACGCACGTCCATGCCCCACATCAGCAAAGTCGGGGAAAAGGAAAAAAGCTCGTCCGGCCTGTCGCATTCGCATTCGCATTCGCATTAGCGCATCCCTGCTAGCGGTATGCCTACCGCTGATCCTCCTCGCAACGCCCCCCCCCTCAAGCTCACCTCACATTAAGCTCTCCCGCGCGCCCACCTCCCTGCTCGCCTCCCCATTCGGAAAGCCAGCCGCTCTTCCACCCTTTTGCTCTCCCGCAAACTCTCCATACACGCCTCTCAAGCGCTCCCTCTCCGAAACCGGCACGCTGGGCCGCGTGGTTCGGAGGGATTTGGAAATGTGCGCGTCCGTTACGCCGGCGCGGGCGCGGGCGCTGGAGGGGGGGCCTGACGCTCCTCCACTTTTTTCGCCCGAGCGAGCGCCAGTGTCTGATGGAGCATAGGATGTGCGGGATGCCAGGGTGCTGGAGAGGATCGTGTGCACTCTTTTCAACTGGGCCGATCTCTCCGCTGCGCTCTTGATACTTCCGTTCCCGCTCCCGCTCCCGCTCCCGTTCTTGCCGTCCTGGACCGTTTCGTTCAAGTCGATGAGTCGGATCCTGTCCATGTCCACATCCACCGTCTTGTCGCCGCCGCCGCCGCCGCCGCCGTCGGCAGGCCGAGGAGCGCGTTCGACGGCCTCGTGAATGGTCTCCAAATGAGCATTGTAAAGCAGCGCTTGCAAATCCGCACCGCTAAAGCCTTCCGTCTCCTTTGCCCACCGTTTCAAATCCACCTCTTCATGCAGATTAATCTTTTTCGCCACGGCTTGCAGGATTGCCAATCGATCGTCCATGTCGGGCATATCGCACAGCAAGGACTTGTCCAGCCTGCCAGGACGCAAAAGCGCGCTGTCGATCAGGTCCGGTCGAGACGTGGCGGCGAGGACATAGACGCCATCCAGTCCTTCTGCTCCGTCCATCTGCGTAAGCAGCTGATTCACCACTCGATCCGTCACGCCTGTGCTATCGTGACCGCTGGCGACGTGGCGAAAACAAAAGAACAAGTCGCGTCAGCCCGTGCGAACACCTCGCGCGCATTTGCAACATTCGCCAAAGGACGCACCGCTTAGGAGCAATGGAGTCGAACTCGTCGAAGAAGAGCACGCAAGGTTTGGCAGCTTGGGCGCGGTCGAACAAATCGCGCACCTGGATGCGTGGAGCACATCAGATATCCCGCCACAAAGATTCAGCTCTCGACGCGACTTTACACACACGCCCCCCCCCCCCCCCCCCCCGC